GTGTATATTCCAGTTGCATCCAATCATGTCTGTCTTTGTATTACAATAACATGTGTTATAATCACTGCTTATTGCTGGAAAGAAGAATGAACACAGGGGATCATTGTAGACCCATGATTGTTTTGCATTTCAAAGGACTTAAACCTGCAGTTCCTGGCAGTCTCTGCTGTTCCATTCCTAGCTTGTGATTATACCTTTCATCGCAGTCATGTTTGAAATCATGAGCTTGCAATGATACATTTCAGGATGGGAGTGCCTTGAAAGTGGCAATGGGGGCAGAGCAATCAAAGTGTATAGCTCCTCTCAACAAATTTACTTTCTGTGCATGATGCATTCCATAAAATAAATGTAAAACATTATATGAAAATTATTATTCTAGCAGATAGGCTTAAGCATGGTGTAAATACAACTTTCCAAGGTTATAGCAGCCAAACTATACTTAATTTTGTTATGGCTTCACAGTCAGAAAGCACTGAGTCACAGTAGAAAGGATAAAGCCAATGGCAGTTTGCTACAGAGAACTGATGATTAGAACTGACAATATCATTCACATCTCACCATGTTACTCATTATATTTTAAATTAGCTCTTGACATTTTTTAAAATCTTCAAAAGAAAGGTGTTGGTGAGAGCTGGAGAACTGATGGATTATTGTGTTAAATGACATTACCGTGGTATGTGAACACAGATTTAAATGAAACAGCATTTAGTGAATCTTATTACTAATTCATAAATTAATTGTAACATTGTATAGATGAGGATCTTCACTTATTAGACACATTGCCCCAACAATGAAGTAGCAGGGCTGTGGGGCGGCAAAAGAAGGAAATGACAGTTATAGAAGACACTTTGTTTTGTGAACAGAATAACTCTAAAAGGTATTGTATGGATCTTTTTCAAACTTTGCAGGCACAATGGAGGGGTGACAACCTGAAAGTGATCAAATTTCGAGAAATATTGCTTCCAAATTAAAGCTGCACTGCATAGTGATTAGCAAAAAAAGGGTAGTTTCAGACATATGATCCCTTTAGTGTGATAGATCTGTCAAATACTTCTTGAGTTTTTTCAATCATTGAAGACATATTTAAAGGTTAAAGATCGGGACCTGATCAAATTTCGAGACAAATTGCATCAAAATTTAAGCAGCACTGCTTAGTGATTGCAAAGCGAAAGGAAGCTCAGACACTTCTTTTCAACACAATAACTCAAAAAGTGTTTGTCCAATCTTTTTGCCCAAACTTTGCAGGTACATTGTATGGGTGAATATCCAGACCTATACAAATTTTAAGACAAACTGCACCAAAATTGAAGCAATGGCACTTGTGACAGCACAGAGAAGGATGAGCTGATAAAAGGCTTAACCTTGTGAACAGGATGACTCTATTCATTATTACTACTCTATTTACTCTATCTGATCATTGTAGGATCTTATTACCACTTCACAAAAACAAAACATTATATGGATGAAAATTTACACCTGAAAATCTTCCCCATGATAGACCCCAAATCAACCCTAAATTGGAACTGCATGACAGAGGGCAGCCAAGGGCGAAAACAGAGGCTGCAGCTGCCATCTTGTGAACACAGACATCTGCCATCTAAATGTATTCCGTGGATCTTTTTGCAAACCACTCAGGAACATTGTACAGGTCAGTGATTCTCAAACTCTCTCTCATACTCAGCAAAATTTATCATCAGGGAATTTATTCATGTCACATTTTTGGAGAGGTAGTGAGAGTGTGTAAGGTAGGCTTGTAATAATATTTTCATTATACTGCTGTATTTTCATTCAGCGAAATTTATTGTGGGGGAATTTAATCATATAGTCATACTCCACACCAATGTATTTAGGTACGGGCAATATGGGCCCAGGGTGCTACACAAGCTAGAACCACAACTGATATTCCATGTCAGTCGCGACACATGAGAGAACAGGCGCAAATCTGGTGAATCTATTTACTCCTACAGTTCTTACTGTTATGTCACGGAAAAATGTTGGTCATAGTGCAAATGGAATATTAATATTCATGCATATAACAGACATCCCAACCTGCAAAAACTCATTTCAGGGAGGTCCCCCCCCCCGGCAAGAAGGGAAATGACTTTATTTCACACAAGAGAATTTCTACATTGGCCATATGTATAATTTTTTGTTAATTCATTTTTTCTAGTCAGCACACTAAATTTCGAAGGCTCCACTGAACCGATAACTTCGGTCCTCGAGAAGTTAAATAAAAGCCCGCCCGCACTGAAATCTGATTGGCTTATTTTGCTAAGTAGACCAATCAGGATGCTGTCTGTCTAGCACGGGCTACATGAACAGACACACACGCAGGGATCCATACATACGCACGCTCTCTCTCTCTCTCTCTCATTCCGTCATGCGCGCGATTTTCTCAAGTGCGCGATGGACACGTTACTGTCTCGCACGCATGCTCTTGTGTGCTTGCTCTAGTTTCCGGGACATTTTATTCAATTTGCGGGCATCAGGGAGCCGCTATCAATATGCGGGAGACTCCCGGAACTTCCGGGAGACTTGGAATGTCTGATATAAAAGTATGAAAGACATAAATGACACTTTAAGACTTAAACATTAATACATACACAAAGAAATACAGGTAGCCATCTTATTGGTGGGGAAAGTTTCTATAATTGAAAGTACAATAGGACTCAGAGAATTTGCATTAAAAACACATTAGTTGGCTTTCACATTTCCAATTGGTCCATCCTTTTAGAAATTGTACAGGTTGGTGATTGTGGGATAAGTACGGATTAGGTGAGCAGGTGACGGGGCTGTCCGCCATATACAGTGCTGTCGTTCCGACAGCCCCCCATTCTAGTTAGGGATATCATTCTGATGTCCGTTTGTAAGTTCCAAACTATGGCTGTTTTTTGTGACTGCAGATGAAAATGATTATGATTTGATCAATAGCTTTTTCTCCTGAATATGGGGGTCAATAGTGAAATGCTCTCCCCTCCTCAGTGCTCTCATGCTTATTGCTTCTTGACCTTTTATGTGCAGATGTATGAGTCTGGATTACTTAACATACAATTTTTTAGTTTTTGAACCACAGTATAACTCAGTACATTGTTATAGTAGCTTATGATTTAAATCAAATTATATGCACTAATGCTTCAGGACCCCTGGCCCCTTTTATTTGCATTGATATGGAATATGTGCTTTCCCTGGCCAGACTTTATACATGGACATTACATGTGCTGTGCCTGGCCAGATTTTATACTTCAGGTTTGTGGACATTTCTTGTGCCTCTTCATGTAATCTCATTTTCTTTTTGTACAACATAACAAACATGGAGATGAATAAGCAACATTGTGATTGTGACCAAGCTCCCTCCTAACATCTTGACATTCTTTTATCACACAGACATAAATATGAAAGCTGAAAAGAAATGATTAGGGTTACTATTCCAGAGATATAAAGTGGATGATTAACAGTCCCACGAAGGAATAAAGAGTGGTCTATTTTAATAAAAACTTTTGTCAACCCAGAACATAGTTTTGAAGATGACTCAAAAATATATAATCTTACAGCTTAGTTGGACATCAGGATCATGTGACACGAGGGCCAACTGACACTGGAAATCCGAGTGTGAAGACAACTGTCAGCCCCAGAGGATTAGATGGAAGCCATCACCTAGAACTATTTGTGATGAAATTCAGGCAGAAAATACCCAGGCCTAATATACACCTAAAAAGAAATACCATATCATTCGTACAAAATTTTGATACCTAATGAGTAAATGTCATCAGCACACACAGCCAAGAACACACTGGTATTAAATGTGCATTTTGTCCAAAAATCTTCTGTCGGATTTGCTCAGAAAAACACATGTTTTGTCATGAATAGCAGGTCTGCTTTAGTGATAATTACTAGGAGAATAATTAGGCAAACCACAATTAACTTATACCCTAATATATGTGAATGTCAATCACTTGTAAACATTTTGTTGTACCTAATTATTTTTCAAATAACTTTCAAATAACTTTTTAGCCTACATTTCAAAACAAATTACTAATGAGTGTCTGTTTTTGTAAATCTACAAGAAGAGAACTTTGTTTTTAAAATATATACCTTTTAATCATATTTATGCTACTGCTTTCCAATGATTTGTGCAATTTTGTGCTCAAGTACATTTGCAGGTTCTGGGAGGTGGTAGCTGAAATGCTGGCAGGAAAAAAACTCAAAAACTCATTGGTGCAAGCATGTTTCTGTAGAAATTTCTCAACTGTTTTGAAATGAAACATACAAGTTATAATTACATAATACACTCTTTGCATTTGTGACTGCCTCATCTATCTAGGGAGGGTGAAGGACCTGGAATTCATAATAGTATTAATGCATTCATTCATTAGAATTGATGTTTCTTCCCAACGCCTCTGTGGCGTTTTGCTTGTGCTACTTATTTTTTTACCCTTCTAGCACCGGTGCTATACCAGTGCACAAATTCATTCACAATTTGTATACCCCTAAACTTAAGTTAAATATTAATAATAAATGTTATGAAGCTGCTCTGAGCGTGTAAATATACCAATGATCTGAAAAAATAAAACTAACTGTAATGTGTATTGCAATTTTCTTTTGTTTAAATGAATTTTATGAAATCGGTATTGAAAAAAGTATCGTTCAGGAACCAACATCAAAAACAAGGTATCAATACCAGTACGCTATTGAAAATTTCTGAACTTTGCTCAGCCCTGTTATAGACTTACATCAATATGGATTGAACTGATTCTTTTTGCCACCAATCAACACAGACTATCCCATAATGACAAAATGGGTTTGAATATTTTCAGGAGGTACTGTACATATTTTCAAACAGGAATCATCTTCTTTTCACCGATGGGACAATACATATTAAGGATTGCACTTTGTGGCTTCTTATTATTGTCTCTTAACAGTACCCTGTATTTAGTGAGGTGTGGTGCCTATTAGGAAGTGTAAGGAAACTCAGAACTTTAAGTGTGTTTCTTTGTTTGCAGGTCTGCTTTGCAAATATGGACCGACACAAAGGGAATCAGCGTGATGCCAGCTGGCTGAAGGTACCAAGGGCTTTCCCTGATTTTCAGCATACATGGTGTTAGGGATGTGCAGACCTCTAGTATTTGTTGTTGTTAAGGCAGCAAAATTAATTGTATTTGTATTAAAATAAAAATGGAAATAGGTATAACAATCCAGTTTTTATTTAATCTAGTTTTAGAATAGTAAAGTGTTAATAAAAATGTTCTACATTAATATGTTAGCTGTTTTTTGAAAACCCTAAACCAATATTACATTTAAGTAACTCTTATTTATAATTATTATAATGAACATGTATATTCATAAATGGTTGAAGAGAATTTTTTTTAAAATAGCATTCAGTACCTATTCCACACTTAAATTAAAATCTAAACTAATAAAGTCCTATGTGAACATTTTGAACCCCACTGCAACAGACAGAATATGAACAAACAAAAAAATCATAATAAATAAAAACTGTTCTTTTTAAAGTACCATATGCCAAGAACTAAATGTTAATTAACCCCTGACTGAGAGCTCTGGCGGGAGACACGTTTTATTCTATACACGTCTGGGTCACATTCTCTCCAATAAGATGTTAGATGACTTGGACATTATGCAAACATCGCATACACTCTTATACATATATGGTATAATGCATCTACAGGAGACCTGTACTCCCTTGAAAAGCTAATATACTTTATGCATGAGTAAGAATACATATTAAAATAATGATACAAATTACAGTAAAGTAAAAAATAAGTGCATTAAATGCATGTTTATTATCACTATCAAGTGTAATTGGTAATATAAGTTAGATAGGCTACGTACTGTAGCATTATATACTGAAAGATACAGCCTTTTTATTAGTGTTATATTATGTCATTTATAAACTGTGTACCAAAATACAACCTAAACTAAAATTGTTAAAATTACTCTTTGCATAGCAATGTTATGCCTTCATTTTTGATCAATCACACTGAGCTATTCACTGCAACATAAGCAGGCAGAGCACAAATATGCAGCTTGCTCAGTTATGAGGAACAGCAGCTATTTGACTTTTTTTTACTTCCCAAGAACAAGTAATTAAAAAAATATTTGCACAAAATAAATATTTCTAAAAACCAACTACTGTATTTGTGCTTTGCCAAATACCGTATTCGGCTTCCACCCCTATATGGCATATGCCAGTCGGATGAGCACTGGCTGCCTCTGAATCTGAAATAATCAGCCTTGGTAATACATACATACAGAAACATGCCTAAAACTCCATTGATTTGCTCTATGAAAATAATGGTTTGTGAATGCAAATCATGACTATTACCTTCTTTCCTACAGAAACTGGCCTTTGTGTCTCCCGTTTTGCCTAAACTTATGGATTCCCTAAGCATGCACCAGCTAAAGGAGAATGAGATCCTGATCCACAGTGGCCTAGAATCTCCACGTTCCTGTCCATCTGATTCCACTTTTGAACATGTGAGAGCCAAGTACACCATATGGTGATGTTGCATGTATTTATAAATAGCATCTCTGCAAGATTTTGAAACTAATATCATTTTGTCCACCCAACATATCTCTAAAATATATATATCCAAAACATATGCACAATAAATCCAATTTGTAAGTATCCCATATGTTCATTTAAAGAATAAGAATTGTGAAGGCGATTAAGCCACTGTTTTTATCTTGTGAATACAAAATGCTAACTGTTAAATAATAAATATTATCTCTGTATAATGTCCTGAATTAACCTGTGTTTGAGCAAGCAACTTCATCTCATTAGCCAGTCTTTAACAGACATATTGGTCTATTTTATGACTAGTACTGAGATCTCACATAAATGGTCTTAAATTAGGTCTGTTAGCTACTGTAGATGAGTTGTGTGAGCTGGACTCCAACTGTCTGTTGCAGGTCCTATGCCTACAAGGCAGTGTAACAGCTTATAAATTCCTTGTCTTAAACAGCAGGATTGATGATGGATCCCTATAGCGTTAGAAACTTGAACATTTCTGTGCTGCTTTTATTCACTTCCACTACATTAATTACCTCTACAATATTTTTTCAGCATTCGGTTACTTCAGTATAATTCCGATATTTGGATCGGTACTGGCATCGATTCAGACCTATTAGACGGATCGGGTATAGGCCATATATTACCGATCCACGTCCAATACTTATTTATTTAGTTTTAAATTTTTTTCAATCAATTTGTTCAATCAATCGCAGGACAGCTCTTTTCCATTTTTGATGTGTTTTTGCTGCTTTCAAGGTGAATGCTAATGCTGCCTTTCAGCTTTTTGCTACCCAGTGGGTGCAAGCGCAGTGACTTCCACCTGCTGGGGCACCATGCGCATACCCTTTGCAGTAGGAGGAGCGTAACTGTACATTCACACCGTAAGCGACGAGAGCATCCAAGGGACCAGAAGTCATTCTTTCTCTATGGGAGGGTCACTACCCTTTTACTACCCTTTTTTTCATTTAACAGGTACAGTTCAGTATAGAATGTGTGTAAAAAAACAGAACTATAATATTCATAACAAAAAAAATAAACAAATAAATATATACTACAAGGGATACACCACCTGTAGATAAACTCAGCATGTAAGCCATAAAAGAAACGTTACAATAACACAGAAACAATGATGAGCACTAGGGTCACTACCCGATCTATACACCCTAATCGACCCGTTCCTTCTGGATCCAGTTCACGTGTGTTCCACATGTACGCATGCGTCTGTCGCTGCCGGATTTGGACCATGCATGTGCTCAGAGCTGAAGCATGCGTACACTGAACATTTTATGGCATGGTGCGATTTTGGCGGGGAGAGTGACAAAATGAAGCTTAAGCCCAGGGTGCGTTTTCCAAAAACTTGAGTGGTTCTACCTATGCAAGTATGACGCAGGTGTTTCCCGAAACCATAGTTTGAACTATGGAGGTAACGACGCTGCAAACTTACATAGTACAATCCAACATTTAATGACATAGGTATTTCCCAAAACCATAGTTAGAATGAACGTTCACAAACACTGTCGTTAAGTTGTGTAGTTCGACCTGCAGCTCTTGAGCTGTAGTTAGAAGCTTAGTTAAGGGTGACAATGTAATCAGTGGTGGAAAATGCAGTCGAAGGAGGGTAGACACCATCTAAGTAAGCTGAAAATATTGAATATTCTTGCTGTACAGACATCTGTAATGTCAAGTGTTTTGAAAATGTAGTTGTAGAAGTACTTTTTATGTACTTGTTTATGAGGATGGCATGATTGGAGAGAATGTTGTTTACCCACCTTGTTTGGGCTTTATGGTAGAATTCATTACATACATAAGTATATATTTAGGCCTGCACGATAATGACATCTCAATATCACATCGAGTAATATTACAATATTTATAAAACCAAACAGGAGATGAAGTTACCCGAAATAAATTGTTGCCAAATAGAACTTAATACCAACAGTGTGTCTATTAAGTTGGTGTTGTTGTGTCAACAGACACAAAGCAGTGCCGACAAATGTGATATGATTGTTATGCACGCGCACATTGCGGTATCACTCAGCACTTACGTAAATACAGTATTTAACAGGAAAAAATATGGGGAAGCAAATGGGCCTGAAATATGGGCAAATTAGCAGCTGAAAATAATGAATAACTTCATAATCATTGAGAGCTTTCGTGGCAATATGGAAAAAAAACTACAAAATACCAGTGCTTGGATACGAACCCATAGGTTTGGTCATGGCCAGAAATATTGGCACCCCTGCATTTATATCAGAAAATGATCAAAAATAGCCTGGACAAAATTATTGGCACCTTATCAGAATTGTATTTGTGTAGAAATAATTGTATTTCAAGCATGTGATGCTCCGTTCAACTCACCTGTAGGAATTAACAGGTGCTGGGAATATGGAAATGCCAACTTGCAACCAGTTAAAATAGACAAATATTGACTCAATCTTGTTTTTGAGTCTGTGTGTACCACACTGAACATGGAGAGAAGACAGAAGAGCAAAGAATTATCTGAGGATTTGAGAACCAAAATTATAGAAAAGCATGGACAATCCCAAGGCTACAATTCCATCTCCAGAGATCTTAATGTTCCTGTGTCCATTGTACGCAACATTGTAAAGAAGTTTATAGCACATGGCACTGTAGCTAATCTGGACCTGGACAAAAGAGAAAGATTGATGAAATGTTACAATGAAGAATTGTTTGAATACTGGATAAAGAACCTTGGTCAACTTCCAAACAAATTCAAGCTGACCTGCAGGCACAGGGTAGGGTGACCACCTAATCCATGTCAGGAGGGACACTATGAGCTACAACAGGATTTGTAAACTACCATTTCATACATTTCAATTAAAAGGACCAGGATTTCACTTAAACACTGGGTTCTTGCCGTATGCTGATTGGTCAGTCTCCTATAATCATGCATATGTGTCAGTAATGTTAATGCGAAACAGCTGGATGAGTCTTTCAATCTAGGAACTAACCAAACATTTTAGCAGAGCACAGAATCCTTTCAGCTTTAAAGTAGTTCGTAAAAGCTGAAGTAGCTCATAATGTCCCTCCTGACATGGATTAGGTGGTCACCCTAGCACAGGGTACAACAGTGTTAGCTCGCATTATCTGTCGCCATCTGAATGAAAAGGGATGCTATGGCAAGATACCCAGGAGGACTCCACTGCTAACACAGAAACATAAAAAAGCCAGATTGGAGTTTGCTAAAATCTGCCTGTGGAAGCCACAATCCTTCTTGGAGAATGTCCTCTGGACAGATTAGACAAAAATGGAGCGTTTCAGTAAAGCACATCATTCTACTGTTTACCAAAAACAAAAAGAAGCCTTCAAAGAAAAGAACAGCCCCTACACTCAAACATGTAGGAGGTTCACTGATGTTTAGGGGTTGCTTTGCTGCTTCAGGCACTGATAGTCTTGACTGTTTGCATGGTATTATGTAATCTGAAGACTACCAAAGAATACTGGGGCACAATGTAGGGCCCAGTGTCAAAAAGCTGGGTCTCAGCTGGAGGTCATGGGTCTTACAACAGAACAATGACCCAAAGCATACTTCAAAAAGCACCCAGAAATGGTTTAAGACAAAGACCTGGAGAGTTCTGAAGTGGCCAACAATGAGTCCAGAAATTAATCCTATAGAGCACCCGTGGAGAGATCTAAAAACAGCGGTTAGGAGAAGGAACCCTTCAAATCTGAGAGACCTGGAGCCGCTGACAAAGGAAGAGTGGTCCAAAATTCCAGATGTAAAAGACTCATTGATTGTTACAGAAAGTGATTAAAATCAGTTATTTCTTCCAAAGGGTGTGCTACATAAAAATATAAATGATAATGTAAATGTAAAATGTTAATGTAAATTAAGTTGAGGGTGCCAATAATTTTGTTCAGGCCATTTTTGACATTTATGATGAGTAATAACATAGATCCATGTTTTCCCTCGCTCAGACACAGGTCACCAGGCCCCCCCCCAGAGTCAGGCCTGGGGGTGGGGCTTGATGGCAAGCACCTGGTGGCCAGGCCTACACCCATGGGGCCTGGTCGGGCACAGCCCAAAGGCACATGGGTCCCCCCTCCAATGTGCCAAAGGGGTTGGGTGCAGTGCAAGTTGGGTAGTGGCCGAAGGTGGAGACCTTGTCGGTCCGATCCTTAGCTGCAGAAACTAGCTCTAGGGACATGGAATGTCACCTCTCTGGTGGGGAAGGAGCCTGAGCTGGTGCGCAAGGTTGTGAGGTTCTGACCGGATAGTCAGGCTCACCTCGACGCATGGTTTGGGCTCTGGAACCAATCTCCTTGAGGGGGGTTGGACCCTCTTCCACTCTGGAATTGCTCATGGGGAGAGGCACCGAGCGGGGGTGGGCATACTTATTGCCCCCTGGCTGGGCGCCTGTGCATTGGGGTTTACCACGGTGGACGAGAGGGTAGCCTCCCTTCGACTTCGGGTGGGGGGATGGGTCCTGACTGTTGTTTGTGCTTATGTGCTAAATGTCAGTCCAGAATACCCACCCTTTTTGGAGTCCTTGGAAGGGATGTTGAAGAGCACTCCTCCTGGAGACTCTCTTGTTCTTCTGGGGGACTTCAATGCTCACTTGTACAATGACAGCTGTCGCAGCATCAATCCCCCAACCCACTGGTGGACACCGGCGGTGAGGGATGCTGTCAAGCCTTTTTGGCCTGTGGGACTCCGGAGGCAACTGATGAGTACCGGTGGGCCAAGCAGAACGTGGCTTTGACGGTCGCTGAGGCAAAAACTCAGGTATGTGAGGAGTTTAGCAAGGCCATGGAGAACAACTTTCGGATGGCTTTGAGGAGATTCTGGTTCACCATCCCCCGGCTCAGGGCAGGAAAACGGTGCAGCATGAACAGTTTATGGTGGGGATGGGGCACTGCTGACCTCAGCTCAGGATGTTGTGGGTCGGTGGAAGGAATACTTAGACTTGGGGGTGGACTCACCTATCTCTGGGGTGGAGGT